CCCCAGGGCCAGGCAGTCACTTGTCTCTCCTCTGCAGACCGGAAGCCTCCCCTCTCAGCTCCCTTAGGCGAGGCGGAGCCCCCGGGCCCCGTGGACACCAGTGACCTTCCCAAAGTCCAGATTCCTCCTCCGGCCCACCCGGCCCCCGTGCACCAGCCGCCGCCGCTGCCACACCGGCCGCCGCCGCCGCCGCCCTCCAGCTACATGACCGGGATGTCTACCACCAGCTCCTACATGTCCGGAGAGGGTTACCAGAGCCTGCAGTCCATGATGAAGACCGAGGGCCCCTCCTATGGTGCCCTGCCCCCAGCCTACGGCCCGCCGGCTCACCTGCCCTACCACCCACACGTCTACCCGCCCAACCCGCCCCCTCCGCCAGTGCCCCCTCCCCCAGCCTCCTTCCCCCCTCCTGCCATTCCTCCTCCCACTCCGGGCTATCCCCCTCCTCCCCCTACCTACAACCCCAACTTCCCACCCCCACCCCCACCCCCCCCCCCCACCCACGCAGTCCCCCCTCACCCTCCTCCAGGCCTGGGCCTGCCACCGGCTAGCTACCCACCTCCGGCCGTCCCCCCAGGAGGACAGCCACCCGTGCCCCCACCCATCCCGCCACCTGGCATGCCTCCGGTTGGGGGGCTGGGGCGGGCAGCCTGGATGAGATAACGTGATGCCTTCCCCCCCCCCTTTTTTTTAACAAGTTTTTCTAATCAACTTGAAGAGTAGTTTAAGTGGGTAAGCAGCAGGGTACCTTGTATAATGCTAGACAGTTGCAGTATGGGAAGAAACGGCCCGGACCCGAGATGAAATTGGGGTGGTCCTCCCCATCTGGAGAATGGGGCCAGTGGCTTTCAGTATAGCCTGCGCAGCGCCAGTTTCGATCCGACCACGCGCTTGGTCTCAGCTGGTGGCGTCGGAGGGTCCTGCCCTGGGTTACTTGTACTCGTGAAAACGTTAACCAGCCATATTGGCTCAAGAAATAGCTTCAGTAAGGAGTGAATTTCCTTCTAGAAATCAGTGCCTATTTTTCCTGGAAGATCCATTTTAAATAGTCCAGTTCCATCTGAAGTCAAGCTGTTGTCATCGCTTTCATTCCATGACGTACCCTCCCGACACCCAGTAGGTCAGACGAACCACTTTTTTGATTTAGAGATATTTACATCCTTTGTATTAAACTTATTTTGAAGGGGTTGCCTTGTTGGATGGCTTTGTTCTTTTTCCTCCAGAGAGAAGGGGAGAAATGTACTTGGAAAGTAATGTATGTTTACATCAATTTGCAAATTCCTGTACATAGAAATATATTTTTTAAGTGTGAATGTAACAACATACTGTGAATTCCATCTTGGTTACAGATGCGGCTCCTTTGGTCATTTATCCAAATAAAACCTGTTCTGAAACGACCCTTCTGTTTCTTCTGCACAAGGTGGGGCCCCAGGCCGTAAGCAGCCCTAGGATGTGAAGTCCAGAGGGACACTGGCCTCGCTACCCCCAGGCCTGACCCCACATCCCCCAAGGCAGTGCCCTTTTGGGTCTGTCCTTGCGGGCCAGCCCCCCACACCGTGCCTGCGTGGGGTCCCTTCGGAGGAACCCGGTGAGTTCCAAACCAGCGTGGACAGAGGCACCTGCGCAGAACACGGGCTCCTAGGACCCACAAGGGAGCAGCCGTCTGTGGTCTCCAGCATCAGGCCAAACCCCCACATCTGAGGTACTCCCAGGGGCTGTGGCCCTCTGCCCAGTGGACCCCCCGCAAAAAACAAGCACTGCGCACCCACCACAGAGGCTTGCAAAGAGCCTTTATTTATCTAGCGCAAAGTATACACTATCACAATCTTCTGTTACTCCTTTTACTAAAATAGTTCAAATCAATGTTTTTACCACACTATCAAAAGTTCTATTTCTTTTTCTCTCCCCAAATCAAAGTGGTTCAGTGGAAGGTAGAAACGGGCACAGGGGTCCACAGCTCCCAGCTCCTCCTGGAGCCAGGCGAGGGGCTGGCCCCGGTTCTCATGGCAGTCACCCACCAAGGAGAACAGCATGGCTGACGGCCCGGGGCCGGGAACCAAACATTCCAGCCCAATTCCAGAAAGCAGCACAAATACTCCCCCCTCCCCCACAGTATGAAAAATATACACCTCTACCGCTCTGCAGTCATGCATTTAGCTTGTTTCTTAAAAAAAAAAAAAAAAATCAGTAGTATGTATTTTGTTTCCTCTCAAGTTTCCAAGAAAAAAAAAAAACGAAAGGTCACTTTTTTCTCTTTAAACACTGATGTGTAGCTAGTAACTTTTGGATAAAAATGTGCCACCCTAAAAAAATGTGCTCAGCAGATTCTGATCCCAGGATGGCCTTGGCCACCTGGGGTGAGGCTGGAAGGGTGACATCCATCACAGTGGGAACTGAAGCCCCAGTACAGGTGTCACATGGGGCTTCAAGATCTAGAATCAATCAGAGAATCTGAAACGTAAAGGGACCTTTATGAAAGGGCACCAAGTTCAGCAACACCCCTCCCCCCACCGTGAGCTGCTACAGCTAAGGCTCCGGAAGGGAGGAGGGTCACCCGACGTCACCGGACGCACGCCCGTGTTGCTGGCAGGGCTGGGACTCGTGCTCACCTGGCCCCTGGCTGCCCCTGTCGTGAGGCTCCTCTGACCCTCCCCAGCCTGTGGGCTCCCACTGCACCCACCCACCCCCTGCCCCGTGGGGTCAGGCAGGGGTGCTGCTGGCTTTTTTTTTTTTTTAACAGCTTATTACGTTAGATGACTGTCACAGGTACAGTTCTGTCCTCAAAAGCCATCCCCATGCACTTGGCTCAGGAACACGAGCAGCGGTGGGTCTGCGCCTGGTTCTGCTGCCTCCATGGTGCACAGGAGGGTCCAGGCAGAAACGCTCCACCTGACCCCCGGACGCCACCACAGCATGAGGGACAGGGTCACTTCCTTCCGGAGGCGGGGACGGTCCCATCAAAGCTGTTCTTCCCTGGGTCAGTTTGCAGATCTGCAGATACCAGGAGCCCTTACTTATTGCTTATTTTCAGTGGTGGCCAAGCCAACCTGATCCAGACACGACAACTGGGCTCCCAGATGTGGCTTCCACCCAAAATGGACCCATCCCCCCCACCCCGGGCTGCTCTATGGTTCTTTGGACTCCAAGATCCAGAGGGGGCCTCTACCCCCCAGCTCACTGCCCACTAGGACAAGAATTGCCTGGTACCATGACCAAGGGTATTCCCCAGCTTCAAATGCATACCCCTAGTGACAGGTAGCTCACCACCTGACCTGCTGGCAAGCTCCCTCCAGGAAGAGCCCAGACCTCCCCGTAACACCCAGGGCAAGAGGAACATGCCTGTCGCCGTCACCAGCACCCACTTAGCACTCCCTGGGCACAATGAGGGCTGCGAGCCTTTCCCCTGAGAGTGTACGACCGACCCAAGGGCGCCGATGGCCGACGGGCGGCGGGAATGACAGAGTTCCCGCTGGGGCTCTAGGAACAGGGTGGCCTCCCCCAGCCCCTCGCCTGGCCCCCGTCCCTCCTGTGGGCCTGGACGAGGCCTGCCTGCTGCAAAAGCGGTCTTCTGGGGCTCTTCAATGCTTGCGGCACGGAGCTGAGCACCACCGGACAGTGAAGGAGGAGGGAGGGACCGAGTGGCCGTCAGGGCCGATGCCAACAGCATCCACGGTGGCCCGCCCACCTCCCAGCATCCGGGAGCTCGTCTGTAATGTGCCCCCGATCACCCACCTTCTGGGCCTCACCTTCCTCACCAATTTCAACGTCTCTCTATCACACTCTATAGTTTGTACATGGTGATCCCGAGCCCTGCGAGGAGGGCCTGAGGCTGGCCCTTCTCCAGTGGAGGACGCTGAGGCTCAGAGAAGGGAGGTGACAGCACCTATGAGGAGGCAGCAAGGCAGTGGAACCCCGCTCGGTCCCCGGCTCCGTCCAGCCCCGCCAGCAGCAACATCTGGCTGGATGGACCACCTGGGCGCGCGGGCCGCGACGGAGGCCCAGGCTGAACAAAGCCGGTGGCCTCAGGTGGTGAGCACAGCCCAGAGAACCTGAGGCCTCCTTTGCCCACTAGGGGCCCGGAGAAGCTGAGTGACTTGCTGAAGGTCACACAGCCAATTAAAGCCAGAGCCAGGTCAGGCTCCTTCCAGAGAGGGCAGAAGTCTCCCAAGGGTGAGTCCATGCAGCTCTGTCCACAGTGACCCTGGCTGGGGCCAGCCTCTGGGGGATACCAGAGGCCCAGCTCAGCCCGGTGCTGCCCACCGAGAGAGAGAGCATGGGGCTCAGCCTCCTACCTCCCTGGCCCATCACGTGAACCACAGAAATGGAGAGGCCTCGGGCACTGGGCAGGAGGGACCCGAAAAGCTAGGGCACGGCCTGGCCCGGGGTGGGGGGACTCTGCAGCGAGTGTGTGTGTTTGGGGCTGGGGGCAAGAACCCTGAAACCAAGCAGCAGCTTGCAGCAGGGAGCTGGGCGTGGGGCGGGGGGCGGCGGGGGGGGTGCCAGAGGAAGGGCCTCGGGGCCTCCAGCCAGCCACACACACCAAGCTTCCCTGTCCGCGACTCGGGACGCAGTGCTCGGTGAGCTGGTGTTCAGGCCGCAGCGGAGGGGTGAGAAGCGGTGCGCCCTGCGTCAGGTCTAGCTGCCAGTGGCCTCTGCCCAGCGCGGGTGGCAGCCTGGGGGTGGAAGGCTCGATGAGGTGCCCCCCCGCCAAGGCCGGGCCCAGCCTGGGGTGACCCAGGGGCCCGGCGTCCCAGAGCGGCCTTCGGCCTCTCGGCAGTGGGGCCCCAGAGCAGGAACGAGGCTGTCCGGGCCGCTCTGCCGCGGGGCACAGCCGGCAGCCTCTCGTCTTCCGTGTGCTGGTGTGTGAGGAGGGAGACGGACGGCGCCCGGGCCACGGCGGGCGGCGGCCTATGTACAATTCACCACAGGAAACGAACACGGTGGCTGCGACTCGTCCTGGGCGCCCCGCGGGGCCAGTCCACGTCCACGGAGGCGCGGCCCTACAAAGGCCCCTTGAACTGGTTCCCAGACAGGTGCTGCCGGATGGAGGGCTTGGAGCTGGCCGCGTCTCCCAGTTTTCGCCAGACCACCTGTGGGCGGGGGCGAGCTGTGAGTGCAGAACCCACCCGAGCCCAGCCGCCGGCCCTGGGCCCCTCAAAATCACCCACGTCCCCAGAGCCATGGGGCCGGGAGGGGAAACTGAGGCTACATGGGGTCCAGAGGGGCAGGAGGCAGCCTAGGAGGCAGGGGCGCTCAGGACACCGGGCCCCAGGTGAGGCCCCGCCGCAGCCCCCTGCTGGCTCCTACAAGGGTCCAGAGAGGACACACACTGGCCAGGCGGGTCGGGGGTAAGACCCCCCCTCCCCCCAGTCCTGGGCGGCCACAGAAATAGCCCGGCTTCCAGAAGCAAATGCAGCCCCAGCCTTGTAGGGGCCCACCTGCACCTCTGGTCTGACCACCACCTGTGTGTGGCCAACAGCCACCCGGGGCCAAGGATGGGGTATGTGGGGTGCACGGGACCCGTCCCGGGGGCTGGGGGGCGGTGCTCCAGGCATGGACAGGCCTGCGGAGGTCAGGGCCCCCACTCTCGGGGACAAGTGCGACAGGCTGTAGGGGGAGGACAGGCCAGGCCTCCAGGTCCGCGGCCCTGCGCACACGGGGACCCGCCCCGCTCGCACTGGCGGTCCCCGGCCCCGGGAAGGGCCTCACGTTGCACATCTCGCGGACGATGGCCTTCTCCTTCTCACTCAGGTCCTCCTCACAGCTGTGCTGGAGCTGCCGGTCCAAGTTCTCGTGCACCTCCAAGACCTGCGGGGAACCGGCCGCAGGGTCAGCGGGGAGGCTGCACACGGGAGCCAAGGACCCCGAGCTGCTGGGTCCCAGCCAGGGTGGGGGGCATGGAGAGACCCGAGGGGCCGGTTCTCTTCCCTCACCCTAGCGACCCTCCACAAGGGAAGCCACACCCCCACATCACCGCTGGGGGCAAAGCTGAGGACAGGTCACCTGGGAGCAGGGATGACAGATTGCGGGGGACGGGGGGCGGGACTACCCTCGGACAGGTGCACTCACTGCAACCCAGGGCCCCCCGCTTGGATGAAGTGACACAAGGACAACACCCACTTGCACACACGGGGTCACTGCCCGCACCGGTACAAGAATGCTGTATCTGTGCAGACGTGCACAGGCCTCCGCACCTGCGGCACGGCGTGCTCGCGTCCGTGCACACATGGGGGGTGAGGGGCGCAGCCATGGCAGGCGTGGGCCGGGTGAGCCAGCCCCCTCCCCCTCCCCCGGAGCTGCACCTGCAGGCGGGGCTGGGCCTGGGAGGCCAGAGCCTGAGTCCTACCCCAGCCCTGCCCCCACCTCTCTGACTTAGAGGGAGTGCCCGCCCGCCCCCTACCCGGCCCAGGTATCAGTTTCCTCTTACTGGGATGGCAGACAGGTGACAACCTGTGGCCCACTTGCTACTGCCAACCGACACCTCCAACTCCCTCCCCCGAGGTGTTCCGGGCGTCCGGGCCGCTCCCCTCCCGCCCTGCTGCTCAGACACCCACGAACTCTGAGCAAATGTGGGGTGGAAGGTTCCGGGTCCCGCACTGCACCAGGGACCTGGGGGCCCCCCGAGGGAGTGAGGTCTGGCCCTCACCTTCATGGCGTGCACAACAGCCTCTGGCTTCTGTCCCGCAGAGCTGTAGCTGGCGGAGGGGGGTGAGGACAGCTCAGGTACCGGGCAAGCTGGGCCCTGTGGGAAGGAATCGCGTGTTTTAGCTGGTCCCGAATGTCTCCCGGGTGGTGGCCAGAGGTGCGGCCAGCAGCAGGAAGAGGTCCCTGGGCCCACGCAGGCGGACAGGGGGGCTGAGTGATGCGGGAGAGGAGGCAGGGTGTGAGGCCGGGGCCAGGGCAGAGGACAGGGTGGCCGCCCTCGGAAACCCACCCCACCCCACAGGCTCCTCTCCACAGCCCAGGGGCAGGGTCTGTTATCTGTTGCCCAGAGGAAGTGAGTGCAGCTCAGAGAAGGGTGGGGGGCTAGAAAGATCCCCCAGCAAGCCCCACCTGCCTCCAAAGCTGCCACCCTTCCCCCGACGCCAGGTGAGTGGGTTAAACTAGACTTCACCCCCACCCCCACCCCCACCCCCACCCGCAGGGACACTCCTCTAGCCCTGAGCCCTGCCTCCCTGCCCCGAGCTCCCAGCCGGTGTGGCACCTGACGGATGCCACCAAATTCAGCACTTTCAAAAACTAAATATAACTAAAATAAAATAAAGATTTTATTTATTTGAGAGAGAGAGCAGAGAGCACAAGTGGGGAGTGGGGGGAAGGAGAGTGACAAAAGGAGAAGGAGAAGCTCCCGGCGGAGCAGGGAGCCCGATGCGGGACTCGATCGCAGGACCCCAGGATCATGACCTGAGCCCAAGGCAGACGCTTAACGACTGAGCCACCCAGATGCCACTCAGCGAGCACTTTAAATGGCAACCAGGCATCCAAGTCCCCACAGCCCGGGGAGCAGGGGACAAGGCCAGGTGAGGACAAGGCCACCATCAGCCAGGATCGGGTCTTCTGGTGTCGGGCCCACCTGTGTCAGAGGCTGCGTGTCTGCCCAGGGTCCCCAGCCGCTTTTCCACAAGGATTCCTGGCCCAGGTGATGTGCCTCGGGCTGCAGGGGGACCCCAGCTTAGGGTCCCATAAAAGGAGTGCCCAGACAAGGACTGGAGGATGGCGCTCCCCAGGGCCACCAGAAGCCAGGAGGTCAGAGGACACTGGGAGTGAGTCTAAGGGGAGCCAGCAAGTGCGGGAGGCCAGACAGAAAACGCCAAGCACCCCGGCCAGCATGTGTGCAAGCAGGTGGGGAGGTGGCCTGGGAGCCGGGGTTCCCAGCACATCCGTCCCCTCTCTGAGTCTTGGTTTCTTTCTCAGTCACTGAACCCCAGTGACCAGGAAGACTTGGTGAGCTGGTTTATGGGGCCATCACCCTGGGGGCCTGCCCAGCCAGGGCACGCTGTGTGGAGACCCTCAGGGCCCAGAACTTTCTGCCGTGGGCCAGCTCCTCTGCACCCTCTCCATCTGCCCACCCCTCTGGACCTTCTCTGGGCTTCACATAGAGGATGGGCCCCAGAGCCTTGGGGGCCAGGAAAGCTGGGCTTGGGCAAGGCTCTGCGGGGCTGTGACCTGAAGAGGGGCCCGACACACTCTGTGCCTTGGTTTCCTCGTCTGGACAATGGAAAGGGTTCCTGTGTCCCAGAGGGGTTCAGGCAGGTGGAAGGCGCGCGCGCACACACACACACACACACACACACACACACACACACCGGGCTATGCTCTCTCCATGCGCTCACTCCACCATCAGCCAGCAGGGGGCGACAGCCACACGTGTGTGGTGTGGGAGGCCCCAGGTGCCTGGCCCCTGGCACCTCCGGCCTCCTGTCCCATCTGTAAGGGGCCAGGGAGCTGCACCCTGGAGCAAAGGCAGAAAGCAAGCCAGGAGTGGCCGGGACAGCCTTTTTCAGACCCCCTCACCAAGCTGCCAAGGATCACGTGCGGGCCCTGCCAACGAAGCGTACACCCGCGGGCCGGTGGACTGGGACTTGTGGGGCACTCCCCACGCACAGCTCCCCCTCTCCCGAAGGCCCCTCGGGCGACACCTCCCGCTTCCTCGGCACCCCCCCCCCACCCCCGGGGAGAGCAGCCCGCTGAGTGCTTGCAACCCTGCTGCCATCTTTCTGCACCCCCATCTGACAGGCGAGGACAGGGACAGTGGGGCTGACACAAGGCCACGGCCAAACCGCTGGTGAACAATGGGGCTCAAGCCGGGTCTGGGGTTCCAGAGCTGGTGCCCAAAGTGGGGAGACCAGTGCGTCCCCAAGAGAACTGAAGCCACACGTCCCCACGTCCACTTGTCCAATGTTCACAGCAGCGCTCCCCACGACGGGCGAAGCGTAGACACAGCCCAGATGTCCAGCCGCCGGTGAGCGGAGCTTCCACCCGCGGAATATCGCCCGACAGCGCAAAGGCACGAGGCTCGGGCCCATGGCAGCGCCGACCAGCCTCAGACAGACAGCGCTCCGTGGAAGTGGCCAGTCACAGAGGGTCGCCTGTTACAGGATTCTGTTGCTAAGAATAGTCCAGAACAGGCTAATCTGCAGAGGCACGAGCACATCGGTGGTCCCCGGGCCGAGGCAGGGGAGAGTGGGCAGAGGCTGCTAAAGGGGGCAGAGTTCCCTTGTGGGGTAAGGAGATGTTCTATCATGGTAACTGTACCGATCTGTAAATACGCTAAAAACCAGTGAAGGGCATGCTCAAAAATAAAGTCAACTGACCAAAAAAAAAAAAAAAAAGGCAGGAAGACCAGTCTCCCCCAGGGACCTGTCAACAGGTCCTCCACAACCAGCTCCTTCCACAGGGTCCTGAGTCCCAGGGCCGGCCGGGGGCCCCTGCACCCTGCCCCACGGCCCCCGGGCCAGTGACCCTCATAGGGGAGAAGCTGGCAGGCCCTGGGCAGACACTCGGCCTCTGACTCAGGTGGGCAGGGAGTGGGGAAAGTGGACAGGGACAGAGGTAGGAAGGGTGGGGACAGCCAGCCTGGCAAGGAAAGGGGGTCCCTGCCCCACAGGGTCATCTGTTTTACCTCGGGACCCTCTGATATGTGGACTACCGGCCCTCACCGCCCCCCCACCCCAGCCCGGGACCTGCAGGTAACCTCTGAGAAGACAAACCAGGTGTGGGAGAGTCTGTGCCCCCAGCGGTGTCCAGCACAGAGGGTCCCTCCAGGGCCCAGCAAGGGCTTGCTGCCCTATCAACACCCCGAGAGTGTTCCTACAGAATCTCTGGGCCTCCACCTCAGCCCCGGGCCCTCCACTGCTGCCTCAGCAGCCTCCGTGGCTGTATCTCCCAGAGGACCCCCAACCCTCTCTGTGCACCCCAGAGACCTGCCCCCCAGCTTCAGAGTCACTTCACCCTGACCGTGGCTTCTAGGCCCAGGGGGGCTCGGCGCCGGCGGACAGATGCGCCACACTTCACAGCCCGCGGATCGCTGAGCGTCGGCACGCAGCACCCCACAGCCACTGGCCATCGGGGTCCCCACAGAATGAACCGTGTGGCTGGCCAAGTGGAGGACGGAGGAGCCAAGCCCCACCGGGGCACCCCAGGCTTCTCAGGGCCCTTCAGCATGCAGCACTGGGAGCCTAACTCGGCCACAAGCTCCCGGAGGAATATTTGGATGATCCGCCTGGTCAGCCTCAGCAGCTGCATCCCTGGAGGTGTGAGGGCCTCAAAAGGGAAGCAACAGAGCACTTGGGCGGCAGCCAGCCGTGGCCCCAGCCTCTGCCACCAGCACCAAGGCCCTGCGAGCCTTTGCAGGGGCACCCCGGGGTCATCCTTGCTGACCGGGGCCGTGCAGAGACAGCGGTGCTGGGACCCCGGGGCGGGGGGGCCAGGCCACATGCCCACCTGGCAGAGTGACCTCAGGCCGGCCCGGCAGCTCCTCCCTTGTGCCCTGGGGATGGCCAGGGTCCCTGCCTTGCTCGTGGGGCTTGTCCCAGCTGGCTGCCCAGAGCGTTCAACCAAAGCCGACGGCTCTGGTCACCATCGTCTGCAGCTCATGCGGGAAAGCGTTTGGCGGGCAGCGATTTTGCACAATCATCACAATGGAACATTTCATCACCCCAAAAAGAAACCCCATACCCATTAGCAATCCCCACTCCCCCTCTTCCCAGCCCTCGACAGCCACTAACGTGCTGTCTCCACGGACCTGTGTATTCTGGACATGTCACACAGGGAGCCATCCTGGCGAGCCATCCACATCCCAGAGAGCTGGCCCCCCACACTGCCACCGCTCCGTTTCCCATGCGGAGCAGCCCCAGAGCCCAGGACCACCCTGGAGGACCCCCACACTTAAGCTGCCCCCCGAGCCTCGGTTACAAAGCCTGGGTAGTGTGAATGCACTGCCCCAAGCCCCCGTCGGATAGCCTTCCCCGCCCACCGTGGCCAAATTCACAGACGCGCGGCAGCTGGGCCGGGGCAGCCTCTCGCGTGGCCTCCAGACACTGGCCTTCACGGCCACGTCACTCTGGTGGGCCTCCACCTCTAGCCAGCACGCTGGGCCCGCACAAGTCTCCTAAGGCCAGGAGCCCAGCCCCCTTCCTGGAAGCAGCGGGCGGGGGGCGGGGGGGGTGCGCGGGGTGCGGAGAGGGAGGAAGGCCACTCCGGCAGAGCCCGGGCTCTGATCCGTCACCCTCGCCTGACCCAGAAGCTGCTCAGGCAGGAGACAAAGGTCCCAGTCCCCGCTCAGCCACAGACCGTCCCCTGGCCCGGGCAGGTCACGAGACGGGCTGAGCCTCACCCCTGCACTGGAATGTGGACCAAGGATTCTGGAGGCTCAAGGTCCACCGGTGAGCAGTGCGGCTCTAGGGGAGGGGCACTTACGTTCTGCAGGGAGTCCTGGTAGGAGGGCGGGAGGCTCGCCAGCTGGGACTCAGAGTGGTACGGGGAGAAGCCTTTCCGCAGAGTCCGGAACTCTCCAGAGCCTGCCTGCTGTGGGGCAAGGGGGACAGGTTAGAGGCGAGCGGCTGTGCTGAGGGGGCTGCGGACCGTGCTGTCAGGACAGGGCGAGCTGCTCCTGCCCGTCCCCCTACCCTCGGCAGTGGGCTGCACCCTCCCTCCCCTCTCCCTGCTCCATGGGTCCTCAGTCCATCACGTGTTGGTGCCACGTGGCCGGGGGCCTTCATTTTGCCCCCCAGTGCATGCTTTATCAACGTTTCTTGAACAGAATAAAGGAGTAAATGAGTATGTGGTACTCCCTCCTTCCTCTGCTCCAGCATCCTGCACCTGGGGGCTCCGCTCCTGGCCTGGGGAGCACTCACTCCAGCCCCTGGGGTCCTCCCGCCTGCCATGGATGAACCTGTCCCTGTGCGCTGCTCAGGCTGCCCTCAGCCTCTGCCATCAGACAGGAGCTCCCAAATGTGGGCCCTGCGTCTCTCCCCTCTGTGTCGACAGGAACCAGTGCCTGCTTAGGAAGGAGGGAGGGGGAGGTGCAGAAGGGATGGAAGGAGGGAGGGAGGGAGGGAGGGAAGGGAGGAAGGAAGGAAGGAAGGAAGGAAGGAAGGAAGGAAGAGGGAAGGAAGGAAGGAAGGAAGGGAGGAATGGACATATATTTGGCCTTAGGTAATTTCCCTCAGGACAAAGCACATGCCCCCAGAACCTGGGGGCTGGGGGCTGGGATCCGCAGAGGGAGGGGACCCAGGGGTCATGCTTAATCCAACCCAGGCCCTCTGAGAAGGAGCCATGGCCTTTTGGGCCCTCCGCATCACTCAGAGCCCAGGGGGTGTTTCTGGCCCAGACATCCTTTTCTACTTCAAAGGAACTGAGGGCACACTGTTGGGCAGACAAAACACAGCAGAATGTCCCCTAAGTCCCCAAACAAAGCCTGGAGGGCAGGGGCGGGGTGAGCAAGACAGCACAGCGACCACACCTGGGGGTCCCTCCCCCTGCGCACCAGCCCCCTCCATGCTGGTCCGGGGGAACCCACACGCAGCTGCTCCGCTCCTGCCAACTGCTGGACCCAGACCCCACTTCTCACAAGCCTCTAGCCTCACCAACTCCCTGCGTTCTGCTCTCCCATCCCCATCAGACCCAGGTCCAGCCCCCTCGGTCTCAGGGGCCGGCTCAGGGGACACACAGCAGCACTCTGGAAGTGGCTGGGGGACTGGAGTAAAAACACAATGAAGGCAGGTGCCCAGTGCAGGCTGCCAGGACAAACATCAGAAAGCAGACCCACGCAATCGCTCACCTACTTACCACCCCCACCCAGGCACCTGGCCAGAGCGGGGGACATTCCCATGGCCTCCGGGAGGAACTGAGTGTAAACAAAGGTCACCAAGATGCACAGAGGTGACAGAAATGAGGACCCCCCCCAGGGTGGCCCCTGAAGTGTGGCAGGGTATCCCCAGGAACCCTTAAAATGTGACTGCCACACCCCTGATTATGGCCGACTGCTAACCAGAGCCACGTTAGTCCTCCCTGGCCCAGCAGAGGCCCGATCTAGTGGAGCCCCCCTGTCACCAGGCACCAAAAACCCAGAGGCCACAGTGCCAACCCTCACTCCCCACCTTGGGGGGGGACCCCTCCACCCATCAGGGCACCTGTGCCTCCCTGACTCGCCCACCGTGGGCGGGGGCGTCAACCCAGCTTCACTCCAAGGCAATTATCTTCCTGGCCAGGCAACTTCGACACTTACAAACTCTTCTCCAACGGAGAGTGCGTTCTAAACCCAATGACACCAAGCATCTGCAGCCGGTGCCACCAGGCCCTCGCCGGGCCCTCCAACCCCATTCTGCGGGAGCATCCCCCACCAGCCTTGCCAGGCTGGCGAAAGGGACCAGGTGTAAGGCTCAGCCCAGCTCACACACACTGACATTTGACCACACGGCCAAGGATCTGAGCCACTGCCCCGCCCTCTCCGGCCAGCCCCTGGGACCAGGACACCTGGACGCTGCCCTGTCCTTGCCCACACCGTCTAGATCCTCCTCTGAGCTAAGTCTCACCTCCTCCACAGCTCTTCTGGCCCGGGACCAAATGGGTTCAGAAGCAACTCACGTGTTGTTACTGAAAACACAGGTTTATGTTGCTTCCTCCCTCCCTCCCCCCATCCCCCGCCAGATAATTTCCTTGGGAGGACATGTGTGTACAAGGGGGCGGGGGGGCGGGGTTAAATGAGTGCGTGCAATTCCCACCCCTGCCTTCAGCGATCATCTATAAATATTTGCACGTCCACAGAACTTTATTAGCGACCCACAAAGCTGGCAGGAAAAATGCACAATCTCTCATTAGGGGCGATGTGACTAATGATGCATCAAAATGAGGGACCATAATTGCACTTAAATCCAAATTAAAAATTCTGGGATTCGGCTGTTGATGACCTGGAAGAATGAAATCCCTAGGTTTTATCACGGAGGAGAAGTGGAGCTGAAGGGGCCTTCTGGGGTGGCTGGGCCTGCACCTGCAGGGAGTGCAATCCCAAACGTGGGTCCCTTAGGACACAGGGAGAAAGGATCTGCCACGCAGAGTGGGCGGGACTCCCACATCCCTAAAAGTAAAAGAAACGTTGAGTACAGACAAAAGACTTGCCCCTTCCGACCGGGAGGGCGAGACCCAGGAGTCGGCAGGGCCCCCAAGTCCACTAAGGACTCCGTCCAGGGCTGTCACTGCACCGACACCCGGCTCGAAGCCGGCGTGCACTCAGGTGACCCCAGGCTCTCCGGAGCCCCGCGGTCCTGCAGCGAGCTCGCCTGCCATCGCCTGGCAGGGGACTCCTGGGGAGCACCGTCAGAGGGGTGCTGGAGCAGAAAAGGGCCACTGCAGGACAGGGAGGGAGGACCCCGCCCACCTCCCCCACCTGCCACTTGGGGCTCCTTGTCTGGACAGCAGCTGTGCGTGGGCTCACTCCGGGCAGCTAGTCTCACCCCTCCCTCTTGCTCCCAAAGGGCTTGGGTCCCCGCGGGACCGTGTCATGCAGAAGCACCTCCTGAGCGCACCCGACAGGGAGGCAGGGTCTGACAGGTGACGCGGGGACTGTTGTGGGGACTCTGGGGTGAGCGGTGACGTAGGGGTGTCCGGAGACCACTCGGACCACCGGACTCAGGCGGGGAGAGCTGGGTGAGAAGGGCCGCGGGAGGCCGCCGGCTCCTGGCCCCGCTACTGTGTCATGTGGCGAAGCTGTACACGACTGCACGCTCGGAGAGGGCAGAGCCAGGGCACCCTGGTGGTGGTCAGCTCCCAGGAAGGGATGGGAGGGGACCCACAGGAGACACAGCGGCACACAGCACTCGAAGCAGCCCCCACCCCAAACACCACTGCACACGCGTCCCGCCAGGCGGCTCTACCTGAAGCCAGCTTCTCGGGCGGCCGTAGGGACGGGCCAACTGGAAGGGAAGAGGAGCAGTGTCACCCAGCAAACGCCAGCCACGACCCCCACCCCAACCCCTCCCCTGGATACCCGGGACCTCGGCTGGGCCGGGGTGGGAACCTCCGGAGAGCCCCCAAGTTTTTAGAAACCACCCCCCGTCTACAAGGACTGACCGGGCCGGCCCCCCGGTTCGCTCACAGCCCTCCCGGGGCTCACACGGGGACCTGCAACCCCGACAGGCCGGCCCGCTGCACTGGCCCAGAGGCGCCCCAAGGTCCCGGCGCGCCAGCTGGCAGAGGAAGGGAAGGGGCGCTGCGGGGCCGCTCACAAGGGCACCCTGCCACTGCCTACCAGCCAGACTGGCTTTCTCTCGTGGCCACTTTAGTTTTCAGAGAACTCATTTGCAGGCCATTACAAAGAACGCGGCTGCTGCGTGGCTGGGGGCCCAGAGGTTTCTTCCTAATTAGTGCTCAGAGTAGGCCGCGGACGTACCACGTGTGGCTGGTGCATGGCTCATAGGACTTCTCCTCAGGGGAGATGGCACCGCATCCCCACGCCCCATGTGATTTCCGGCCCTAAATCCCAGGTTCCAAACGTGGGGGTGTGCGTACTGCCCAGGACCGGTGGCCTGCAGCTGATGGGACAGCACACGGCCCAGGTCTCATCTGCCACAGTGACCGTCGACCCTCACGGGTCCCCTCGGCAACCCAGTACTGGTTCCAATAAGGTGAGCAAGAGACAGGCCACAGGACCCCGCAAGAGGAGGTGAGGGGGGTTAGTGGGGGCAGAGACTCCCCAAATCCAAATCCCACCCGGGCTGGGTGAGTCTGAGCAACTCCTCAACTTTCCAGGCTCTGTTCCTTACACGTAAATTGGGGTCAAGAAGGGCGCCCACCTGCTGGACGGCCCACGACTCTCACCGCTGGCCGGCCCTGGACCTTGGTGCTTTGGGGGATCAGCCCTTTAAACCTGGGGCGGGCACCACTGGTGTCCCATTTGACAGATGAGAAAACTGAGGCACAGAGAAGTTAAGCCCCTGGCCCAACGCCGCCCCACTGGTAAGGCGGCACTCGGGCGATCCGAACCAGGCCCTGTGGCTCTGGAGCCCTGGGCTTGGCATTGACGGCCACCCAGCATGTGGCTCACAGTGGACAGTGATTAAGCCTCGGGCACAGAGGGGACAGAGGTGGAATTCCTAGTCTCTTTCTGCCCACGTTGCCAGCCAGACCATGCGCTCAGATGCTGGAAAGAAGAGGTTTCCTCCCTGGCCGAGGGAGAGCCTGGACCGGCTCTAAGATTCTGCTAACGAAGTAATTAAAGCCCTCCAGAGATGCAGAGACAACCCACTCACAACAGAGGGAGCAGGATGTGACCACCAACCCTAGACACCAGCCAGGCAGAGCGGGGACGGCTCAGAGCCAGACAACCAGCAACATGTCACAGAAGACACCACCGCAGAAATCCTGGAGGCCAGCTTCTCTGGAGGGCTTGGGCAAGGGAACCAGCCACTCGGGATGACACATCCTCCTCGGGCACTCAGACAACAGGACTGAGGTCCAGCACGGGCTGAGATGGTGGCAGACTGCTCCCCTGTCCCCCAGCCTGAATGGCTCAAAACGCAGACGAGGGCCACGGAGGAACCGTTCATTCAGAGACGGGCCAGGCCTCGAACACCCCAGGTCCCCGAGACCAGGGAAGGGAGAGACAGGCAGCTCCCCGCACCGGGCACCCCCCAGGTTACAGTCAGCATGGCGCACGCTGCACTGGGCATCACCATCACCCCCGTCTTCCACGTCAGGAAACCGAGGCACCAGGACAGGAGGCATTTTGCCTAAAGCCATAGTGCAGGCAAGTGCTGGAGCATGGGTCATTGGAACTCAGGTTCCTCCAGGGCCCAAACCCACTTCCTTATACAATTAGGCCCACCACACCACTGCTGCAGGATGGACTGTGCCCCCCCAGGTTCATTTGTTGACCCCATGGACCCCGGAACCATGAGAAAATACACTTCCGTGGCTGAAGCCACCCAGTGTATGCTTTGTTCCAGCAACCCTTGGTGTCAATCCTGGGGTCACTTGCAACCCGAGTGTTCGAGCGACCCTGCGCGGCGTGGCACAGGGGTGAGAAGGAGGGGGGCGGGCCTGCACGGCCACCTCCACTCCCCTCCACGCAGCCCACTTGCCCCACGGGAGATCCGCTCAAGCACTTCTTGCTCTTTTGAAAAGCCGGCTCCTGGGCGAACACGGAGGCTTCATTTCTCAGCCCAGCAGGGGAGGGAACCACGGACACCAAAGGAGCCAGGCCCCAGCATCAATGCCAGCCGCCCCCACCCCAGCCCGGCCGGGCACAGAATCCCCAGGAAAAATAATAACGTGTGGGGGGGGCTCGAAGTGAATCATCACGGAGGAAGCAGCTGTGTTGACGAAATTTTAAAGCCAACACGAGAAAGAAAATACGAACTGCAATATAATAATTTACTTCTGTGAACACGCTGGCACATTTTTAATTAAAGCTATTCTGGAGTTAAACAGAGGCCATGAGCGGAGGGGCGGGGGCAGTGGGAAATGGGGGCCGCAGAGGCTTGCCGCCCTCCCGCCCACACCCCGCAGCCACGTGCCCTGAAGGTGGTTCAAAGACACATCCTGCTCTCTCCCGCTTCTCGCCGAAAGGCAGGTGCTCTCCACCCTCTGTAGAGCTGGAGGTTTCTGTGCAATCTGATTTCAGTGGCAAGATTTAAGTGCCAGAATCATCAAGTCCGACAAGCCAGGCCCATGAGGTCCAGGCCAGAATCCCACCCCTGGCAGGAATCTCTCGCTCTCCAGGATTCCCAAACGTGGTCATCCATCCCTTGATTACCTCCAAAGATGGCATGCTCACTATCTTAGTGAAGCAGAACTTCCTTATTCTGGGCAAGAGCCAGCCTCCCCTCCCGGCCTTGGACTCTGGGTAGGGGGCAGCCAGGGGCTCCCCAAGATGTATCCACCCAGTCCAGCTGTGCTAAGCGCTGGAGAGGCAGATGTGACCACAGAGAGCCAGCAACCCAACCCGAGTACCTGACAGTCCAACAGACGTGGGGGCCGAGCTCCCCAAGGGAGGATCACGACAACTAGCAGCTCACAGGGCTGAGAGCTCAGACTAAGTGCCGAGCCCCCCTGGGGGTGGATGGGGAGGCTATTGGTAGGAGGCCATGCCTTCCTCCTGAGGAAGAAGAGAAAGTAAACCCTTTCTTCCCTGGACTCCCCTAGAATGAGGCCAGGACTGTCATCGTGGGCCTGCAGCAGCCCCCTATGCACATGAGTCCTGCTAGCTGGGACAAGGAGATGCTCAGGCCTGGGCCTGGTCACCCCTGTACCCCTAAAGCCATCAATTACACACGAAGTGTGTGAGTGCCCATTTTCCAGGTGAGCAAACAGAGTGGTGCCATCTGAGCTGCCCCAGGAATCCAGAAGCAAGTGAGGTGTGAGTTGCCACCAGGCAGCCGAGAGCAGGCCAGGGGGCCCCTCTCTGTCTCTCCCTCTCTCTCATCTCTCCTGCTTGGCTCACACCAGTGGCGCCCCCCTCTGCAGCCAGCACCACCGACCCACCCTCAAGGCCAAGCTCTGGTGACAGCAGGTGGCGGGGACAGCAGGAGCCCCATCCAGGGCCCTGGAGGCATCCCGCCAACGCCAACAGCTCCCGGGTGCTCTTGCGGACCGTAGGTTGAGGGCCAACTCTTTTGCTGCAGCAAGGGGACAAGGCTCACAGTGCACTGGGGGGGCCAAGGCCCCAGCACCACGGGGCTGCCCCCTTCCTGGGATGCTGGGTGTGGACCTAACACCTGCTCACTGGGAGACCCTGGGCAGAGTCCCGCTGAGGAAGAGACCAGGGAAGGGTCCCGGGTGCCCCACCCCCCAGGACCCACACGAGCCCACACAGCTACCCTCACAGCAGCTTGGCTTCGCGAGGCTTCGGGGAGAAAGAAAAGTTCTACCAGAGAAATAAGACACTTGGAGCCCTTTGTACCGGATGGCTCCCAGTACTTGCCCGCTACTGGCCACAAGCCACAAAAAAGCTTCTTGTCCCTAAATCCCAGTCTAACCGCCTGCAGCCAGCAAGCCTGGATCCCGGCAACGGTCTGCATCCCTCTGTCTAATGGACATCTTTGCCCAGCAGGCCCAGCCCAGGCATGGAGGCCAGAACCCTACTGCTGCTGCCTCCGGGCCACGGCCCCAGGTCTGACCCCCGCGAGCAGGTCTGAGCAGGCTTGGCGCGGGGTCGGGCAGATAGCTGCCATGCCCTGACGCCCAGACACAGGGCCCCTGACCACCTCCCCCTCTGTACGTGTGGGCATGGGGCCAGCGGGCACAGCTAGGGGGGGCCTCTCTTGTGACACCAGGGGTGCCCCCAGGGAGGGAGGAAGAGAAGGGCCACGCCTCCATGGTGTGCACATTTCCCCCAAGTCCACGGCCAGGTCCACCACTGGGAATTGGGGTATATTTTCCCAATGGGACAACGTGGCCCGGGACAGTAGGGCCACGAGGCTGGGGCCACGCCGGTCTTTGTGGAAAAGGGGCCACAAGCAATGCCCAGTTGGACCACAGAACAACATGGCAAACAGCATCCTGAATTCGGGGCTTTGGGCGCTCAACCTGCTTCTCCAAGGGAACCATGAAACAAAGAACAGTCAGACGGGGACAGACTCACGAGGCCACTGACCCAAGGCTTCAGGTCCAGATCATGGTCCTGGCCTTCATTCTGCTGTCCAGTGGCTGCAGCAAGCAGGACAGGCACCTGCTCCAAAGCAAAGGCCCCAAGCCTTAATGCTGGCCCCCTCCACCCCCCCGCCTCCTGGCATCACTTCGGCCTCAGCTCCTGCAGCCCAGCCCACACACCCTCATCAGCCCACGCCAGGCCCACATGGAATGTAAGGTGCCCCAGCCCCCAGCCAGATGAGACCCCAGCCCCTCCCTGCCTCCCCCCAGGCCCGAGGAGCCAAAGGAGCCAGCATGCCTCGTGGCCAAGCCCTTCTGCCACACAGGACCTGAAACCATATAAAGTTACCAAACCAGCCTTGCAATTCGATGCCTGGCTCCACACCTGAACATGGGTGCGGTGGCCTTGGGGGTGTGGAGGAGTCGGGGGTGAACCGTGTACTCGGCCCACATAGGAACTGCCCACACAGCCCACACAGGGGCGAGGTGCAGCAGGGGGGGAGCCTGGACTCCGTGCCGGGGCCCTGAGCCTCCCAGCAGCCGCCCAGGGGCAGAGAGGGTGCCGCGGGCTTCCGAGCAGGACAGTGGCGCCAAGCCTGCTGGTCGCCTAGCAACGGGGCCAGGCAGCTGAGCCCTCCCTGGGGTTGGTTCCCAGAGAAACGCTCTGGGCATTCCGGCTGCCACTGGGGGGGGGGGGTGGCAGGGGAGGGGGAGGGGAGATCAAGCCCAGGATGGGTACGAGGGAGAGAGGCTGGAGGGGTTGGCCAAGCCAGCAGGCCCCCAGGACCCCATGCAGGGCTGACCACAGCCTCCCATCCCCGCCCCACCCGCAGCAGAGAAGGCCCTCGTCCTGACAGTTATAACCCCTCTGTGCTCCAGCTGCACTCAGCAGGAGCAGAGCCGCCTGCCCCCCCTGCTCTGGCTGTCACCCTGCCCGGCCGCCCCCCTGCACTGCCCTCATCCTCCAGCCTCTAACCCGCCATCCCTCTGCTGGGGACGTGCTGGGGATGAGACAGAGCCTCATCTGTCTGTGGGCACCGGCCAGGCCCAGGAGGGTGGAGGGTGCGCCCCAGACGGGAGAGGATCAGCGTGGCAGGAGCGGGGAGGTCTCCGTGTGGGTGAGAGTGGGGGTGTGCCAGCCCCCTCCCCGGACTCGATCTGCCCGCCTGAGGGCCAAAGCAACCCCTTCTTCAGCAACTGTGCATTCCACACCATCTCTGGGACAGGCCCAGGACTGGCCCGAGGGGCTCACAGACCACCAGGGGACACCCCGAAGGCCATGCAGTGAGGATTAGGTCCATGACCCCAAAGTTCCAGGGGCTGCCTCGGATGGCAGGGGGGCAGGTGGGCGGCTCTGGGTGTGAGGGGGGAAGGGAGCCCCAGGTAAGCTGGGACACAGGGGGCGGGGGTTCAGGGGGGCAGGGGCAGGGCTCACGCCGGCCCCCAGAGTGCAGTAGGCACTGCCCCCCGCGGTCTCCCCCCAGCTAGCCTACCTGCGTGAGGGCCTTGTCACCCTCCAGCAGCCTCACCTTGGTCTCCAGCTGCCTGATGTAGGTGGACGAGGGATCTGCAACGACACAAGTGGGGAGCACGTTAATCATGGCTGACTCGGTTTCCGGTGAGAGACCCACACCCTGACTGAAGCCTCTGGGCCGGGGTTTCCAGAACCTGCAGAAAGGAGAGGGGTTCCCTTACCACCTGTCCTGTGCCTATTCCCTCAGCCTCTGTCATACTTCGTATCCAAAAAGAGCTCCCAAACATCCCCCCGACAGGACCCTCACAGCCAGGGGGCAGCACACAGCAGGGAATGGGGTCCAGGGAGCCCCTCCCCAGCACAACGGGGAAACTGAGTCCCCTGAGCATACCAAGTCAGCATCCAGGGTTCCTCTGCTCCCCCCTGCCTAACACACAGGAACTTCTAAACAATTCACAGCTGGGGTGGGGGGAGGGGTACATAATGCAGGTGACACACCATCATTCTCAAAGGACTCTACTGACGAGAGCAGCCGGGAGCTGGGTACTGGGCCAAGCCAGTGACACACTCCCCAGCCACGCACCCCCAGTTTCGGAATGCAGCAGGGTTTCTGAAATCCACCCTCCCTCACCACACTGACCTGTTTTACAATCACATCAGAAAGGCAGGCAAAATTCCACCACCCGGACTCCCAGAGCCCTGGTCCTGCCTCCCCAGCAGGCTAGAGATCGGCTGGGCCAGCAGAGGAGAAAGGCAAGGACTAAGTCACTGCAGGCCAGGCCGGGGTGAGGGAGACTACCGAGATGGGAGCCAAGGGCAACAGAGCAGAGGGGCCAGGAGACGATATGGACCACAGGGCAGGGAAGGCAAGGGGACCAAACCATCTTGGCAGGTGCAGTCGTGCAGGTGGGCAGTCAGGTCCCAACTGGATGCACGGGGCACCTCGCTGCTGGTCTGCAGCCACCCAGTAAGGGACAGGCTAGCGCCTCTCGTCCACATGAGCACCTCGCCAGAGTTCACATGGCCCAGACACCGGCCTACATGCCATCCACTGGGCCAGTCACTGCTCCCCCTGCTGCACCCACCTGCCCCCGACAGGACAGAGTCTCCACTGGTTACACCACCAGCCTTTTAGCTCAGAAGTCACCACACCTTCGACCAAAGCCACCTCCCTAAACTGCAGCCTTGGGAGACGGACCCCACAGGACTTTTAACACACGGGGGTGGGCGAAAGGGGATTGGGTGCTGTCAGAGAACAAGCTGGACTATCATGTATCGGTGGGAAAATGAAGATCTGCCCACCCCAGCACACAGCTGGCATAGCCCATAAGCCCGGCCCCCTGGGGACACGGATGTGGTGCCCCTCCCCCACTGGTGCTCAGCGGGAGGCCCCCTCCCCAGAATGCCCTGCCCTCCCTCCCCTGGGGGGGCTCGGCCTGGGCCTGCCCATTGGCAAGGCCATTCTCTGAGGCTACCCCAGCTTTCACACACAGGTGCCCCTCTGCCCACTGAGCTGCCCGCTGTGGGGTACTTTGTTCTCCAAGCACAGGGGAAGGACCCTCAGAGCTCCGCCCACCCGGCCCTGGACCAGGCCCAGGAGCATCAGCCCAGCCCGTGGCGGGAATGGGGGGCGGCCAGGCCCACCCAGTAGCTGTTGGGGAATTACACAACCAGCTCCTCCTGCCCGAGACAGCACCAGTCAGCTCTCAGGAATGCCGGCCTTCTGGAGAGGGAGAAGGGCCACTCCCCGCCAGGCCTGCCGCCCTCAGCCTCGGGAATGGCACTGTAACTACCAGGCAGCTGGGGGGGCTCCTGCTGCTCCCACGCCACCTCACCGAGCCCCCAGCTCTGCAGAGCTCCCTTTGACAGCCAGGAAATCAAGGTTCTGAGACGTGAAGGGGCTCGTTCGCGGCACAACTCAGGGCAGCAGCAGCGGGGGGGGGGGCTGGACCCCAGGAGGGTGACCCCAAGGGCCTCCCCACTTGGACCCCGCGTGCGTGCCCGGCGCTGGGCAGATCCCACCTGCCCGGGCAGGGGACCCTGGCCAGCCCGGTGGCCACAGCTGTACAAAGGCCTTCCTCACACCCTTCTTCAGCCGGTGGTCGCTCGAGCCCATGCCCTGTGCCTGCCCCTGCCCCTCCTGCCTCAGTTCATTCTCAACCAGCCGGGACTGACGGACACTCCCTACATCCCCTCCCACATCACTCCCATGCCAACAGGACTGATGGCTCAGGGTGTGCCAGGCCCCTCTGGGCATTGGGACGGAGCTGGGGTGCAGCCTGGGTTCCCCACCTCTCTGGGTCCTCATGCTGTCAGCAGGAAGGGTTCCCTGGAACACCGAACTGGGAAACAGTGGGCAAAAACTACAAAGATCCTTCCAGCTCTCTCATCCTCACACGTTAAGACAAGGAGACCCAAATAACTAGCGGACCCCTGTGTGGTCTGACCCTGGGTGGGGTCAGTGGAGGGCGGGGGAGACCCGCCACCCACCTGGTGAGGGTCCAGTAGGCATCCTCCCCACTTTCCAGATGAGGAGGCCGAGAGGACCAGTATCCCCCACCTGCTGGTGGGTGAGCTGGGCCCTGCCAGACCCTCTCCCCACCACCCCGCTCCCCCTGCGGGTCAGTGCTCAGGACCCCAAGTGCCTGGTTGCTCTGAGCAGAGCTGACAGCGCCATGCGGTCGAAAGAAGTTGGCACGGGTCCCAGAAAGAAGACATGGTTCCTGTGCAAGCCTCTCTCTCCGGGACGCTCGACTGCCCAGTCCCCGGCTCCACGACAAGCCGCCCCCACCGCCACTCACTGCAGCCCCCACCATGGGCCTGCACGGCCAAGCACAGTCCCAAACTCAGGAGAGGACCTGTCACCTATGCACAGCCAGGCCATCAGCTCACTCACTGTCATAGGAAGGGGGACCCCTGCCCCCACCCCCAGTTTCCCGGTATGGGGACAGTTCTAGCTCCCTCTGCCAATTTCTCTGGGGTCAACCGGGAGCTCCCGGCATTTCCTTTCTTGGTCAGACTGCAGTCAGAGTCGTGGAGCAGGATGGAGTCAGCAGATGTGCCCGCCAGCCTCAGCGTCCTCGGCCCCAGCAGGGTCTGCCACACTCCCTAGGAGGCAGAGAGGAGAGCAGAGTGGGGCCAGGGCCAGGGCCAGAGGCAATGCTATGGGCGACAAATGACCCAACAACAGCCCACCTGCCCACCCACCGCCGTCAGGACCAGACCTCAGGGCCCACGGGCCGGCTGTCCTCCCTCAGAGGCCACACGTGGACACCGGCCAAGGTGCTGTCCTTGCTTAACCTGCCAGTTTCCGTTTGCCCCAAACTCCAAGCAGCTACAGAGAACAAAGTCCACTTCACACCACCAGGCTTCGGTGGACTTTTCTTTCTAATCTCCAAACAAGAGAGGAGACCTTGAAATATTTTAAATCACCCGGTACTTCCAATGGAATCTATCCTAAAGAATGAATTCTAATTATAAAGATGGTGAAGCAGCGGCGGCCAGAAATGGAAATAACTATTTGTCCAAGAGAAGCAGAGGGGTATACCCTGTCATTCAAAGAATGTTTAGGAAGGGTTTCTCTTCTCGACAATAAGGAAAAACCTTCACGCGCCAGTGGAAAGCACTGGACACAAAATGAGAAGTAGAACTGCTCTCAACGTTTAAAAATATCTGTGTTGAAGTGAATTCCAGAAGGAGGCACGTGGAAATGTTGATGGTGGCGCTGTTCACATGAGAGAACAAGGGAATTTTTATTCATTCACACCCCTTCTTGCTAATTTTCAAATAATCTACTTCCAAAATAGGGAAAAAAAATCTTTCGTTTATTTAAAAAAAAAAAAAAAAGGAGAAAGGATTAAATTATTGCACTGGCACAGTGCCGAGCCACCCACTGACACCACGGAAGCAGAAGGGTGGCCCATCAGAGTTCTCCCAGCTCTGGTGCGGGGACCTTTCCCGAGGCCTGGGGCCAGCCTGAGTCTGCCCATTCCAGTGGATCTGAAGAGGATTTGAGGCTGGCCCCCGATGTCCTAGAGAAGCCTCCTCTTCTTCTGCTACATTCAACTCCCCAGACCAGGCTCTGCGCCTGCCAGGAGCCCAGGAGCCAGACATCATGTCGCCCGTGGGTCAGAGCAGGTGTCCTGCGGCAGGGCAGGGTGGCTGCAAGATGGGCCTTCTCGGGCAGGGGTGGGAGGCCCCGGAGGGCTTGGCTCCCTGGGAGGATGATCCTTCCCAGCAGCCTTGGGCAACTCGTGATCCCGCTGGGCGCCTCTGAGCCCCAGCCTCTCGGAGATGAGCGTGTAATTAAATTAATCCCAGGGTTTGCAGTGGTGAGGAACGGGGCCCCAAGGGAGGTTTGCGTCATTTCCCGGCTTGGCTGCTTGCGGGGAAAATGAAGGAGGTGACTACAGAAGGGACCCCAGGATGGGCTGGCCAATGTGTCCCCTCAGACCTTCCCCAGGCCCCCCCGCCCCGGACCTATTCTGGAGGATTCACAATCCAGTTTCCATCTGGGGGGCAGGGGGTGGCGGCAAGGGGTCAGGGCCTGCAACATTCTTGCTTCCAAGAGCCAGAACGTGAGCCCTAGCTTCGGCCTCCTTGAGGGTCCTGTGTTCCCCAGGGTTGGGGGAGGGCTCTGCAGCCTGCGGATGGAGAGACTCAACAGAGCCCGCGGGTCTGCAAGCTCCCCTCACGGGTGCAGACCATCAGTCTACCCTCCCTTCTCAGAGGCTGAGTCTGGGGCTGGGTCACATCTCCCCCAGCCTGATAGCCTCCCCAGGTAGGCAGTGCGGCCTCAGCCTCCCTGTTAGTCCAAGCGGTAAGGACGTGGGAGCCACAGGAGGTCCCATCCAATCAGCCCTGGAAACCCTCCTCACCAGCTCTGCACTAGGCTTAAAAGGAGAAGCCTTTTCGCTCAGGAAAAGCCTGAAGACCTAACAGGAACGCATCCTGCTGGCGGGTCAGTTCCCTATCCTACAAGCTCCCACCAGCAGCAGGTACTCAGCCTGAAACACAGCACCCACACCCCACACAGAACACCCCGACAAGGGACTGCCAAAGACAGAGAAGGCAGAGCAACCCAGGTGCAAAGA